TCACCCTCATTACTACTGTATATCCTCCACCTACTGTATGAGCAGCCAATTAGATCCTAAAACTTCCAGATAATAATAATCATTTTAAAGGAAACAAACAGAGGATTTGTTCCAAAATCTAGTGAGCCACCATTAGGGAGCATTTTATTGCATCATAGGGGCAGCACCAACCATTCCAAAAAGTTAATTCTAAGGAAATATCACATATATCCTTTCTTACATTGCTCAATGATAAGATGATGGATGAAGCATGAGAAACATTGATTATAAATACAGTTACTTACAGTTCTTTTAATAACAAATTATTAATGAAAAATACTTCAACAATTAAAAAAAATGTATGTACTCAATATTTGGGTGTACTGTGTATTTGCATTCTTATATGCATGTTTGTACAGAAGAAACAGACGTCACTGCCATTGGCTGGCAGTCTACTTTTTTTGGCCTGTCATTTGCATGAATTTGTGCATTTCTAAAAGTTTTGATGTGTGCATTAGCTTGTTAATATGCTGTATACCTGTATGCATACGTGTGGTATAAGCCGCTTTGGATAATAGTGCCAAATCAATGAATGTAAAAGTAAAGCAAATGTATGATAGAAAAGATTTGGTACAAGAGAGCGTTCAACATCGAGGTTCCATTTCAGTTAGGATGCTAAGATTCAGAGAACTTCATCATTCATTCAACAGTTAATAACAAAAAAAAAAAAAACGACTTGTACTGGCCTATCAGTCTCCTACAGCCGGCAAGTTATTTTGAAGGAATTCTGAGGCCTGAAGCTGGTTGTAATGCAGCACTGTGGTAGACAGTAATTACAGCAAGAGAATACTGTAATATTTTACATGAGAGATATGTGGGTCATGAGCCTCATCTTTCTTTTATTGGGGGTTTCTGTGACTCATCGAAGAGTTTGATATCCCCAACCGCTCCCTTCAGATTCTGATGATAAGATTGGTATTATGTGCGATGACTTAGCATAGTGACAAGACATTCATGATCTCAACCACAAGACAAAAAATACAGTTGGTTTCCTTCTTGGGCCTTGGGCACCTCTCTTTTATTTTTCTGTTTTCATTGAATTTGTATGAAGTTGAAAAATTGTATCATAAAAAACCACACCAGTATTAAATCACAGTGGTCCAATTAAAGATTTGCTTTTAAGTCAACGATTAATGGTCTATTTGTAGTGATAGCATCTGCTCTATTACTGCAGAAAATAAAAACTAGTGATGTCAATTTGTCTGGAAAATAAGAGAGAATAAACATGTTTCACAAAAGAAAGAGCCAGAAAATGATGAAACACAATGGGAGAGAAAGAAAGACACATTTTCTAGTCAAGACAATTACTACAGAGGAGATAAATGCAAATAGAAGATAAACAAGCTGTAAATTATTATGTTCAGCTTTGATTTAACCGATCAAAAACCAATTGTGTATTTGTGACATTGTAACCAAACTATTTTCATTGGCCGTGCTGATATTCAGCACAACAGCAGGACTGCAAATGTGATGCTGCTTTTGAGACACTTCAATAAACAAGACAAATATTGAGTAACTGATTCAGACAAAATATGACCAAGTAATTTGTTTATTTTTGCTCCATCAGTGAAAATGGTTTGGTTAAAATTTTAGTATGGCAAATACAGACAAGCAGAGAGGCAATGAAATGTCCCAGTGACATTATACAAAATATCAGCATGTATCTCTGAATGCAGCTTATCAAATCCGAGGACCAGAACAATACTCATTATGTTACAAAAGACAGTCTTTATCTTCAGCCACCACAACACCAGTAGATAAAATTAAAAGTTGTGCTACAATCTTTCACCCTCATCTTTTTCTCTCTTTCTCTCTCACACATGCACACTATCTATCCGCTCTAATCAATAAGTGTGTAATCAGTTTAAAGACCCATGCTGGAAAAAACCAACCACTGACCGCAGCACTCACAGCGAGGTTCAGTAAAGATCACTGGCACAGCACGTCCACGGTCTGGCCAACAGTCAGCCAGCATTACTACCTCCATATGCTCGGCATAATGCCACTGAGGTCAGATCAAGGTTAAGTGAAAACTTCCCTATCAACAAGTTAATAAAATAGCAGGCAAGCTTATATAGCTTTAAGGAAACCACTGCATGCGATTTGGGTGTGATCCAAATTTGTGGATAGTGGAAAACAAATGCTTCAGTGTTGTTTTTAATTAACCCAAAAACAAAAATTCTGTTATTTACTAACTCAAATTTGAAAGCACAACTAAAGATACTTTTAATGAAACCTGAGAGATTTCTGTCTCTCTGCCCCAAAACTTTGATGCTACAAAAAGTTTGTAAAGACATTGTAAAAAATAAATAAATAAAAATCCAAAATCCAAGTCTTCTGAAGACTGTATGATGCTGTATGATGAACAGACTTAAAGGGATAGTTCACCCAAAAATGAAAATTCTGTCATTAATTACTCACTCTCATGTCGTTCCAATCCCCTTAAGAACTTTCTTCATCTTCAGAACACATATTAAGATATTTTTGATGAAATCCGAGAGCTTTCTGACCCTCCATAGACAGCAAGGGTACTACCACGTTCAAGGTCCAGAAAGGTACCAAGAACATTGACAAAATAGTCCGTGTGACATCAGTGGCTCAACCGTAATTTTACTTTTTGTGTGCAAAGAAAATAAAAAATAATGACTTTATGAAACAATTATTTTCCTCTGTGTCACCCTAGCACCATTTTAGCACCATCACGGCGCATGCTTCATGATAATGTATTCTTGTAGCTTCATAAAATTAAGGTTGAAACACTGATGTCACATGGACTATTTTAACAATGTCTTTACTAAGTTTCTGTGCCTCAGAAAAAGGTCAGAAAGCTCTTGGATTTCATCAAAATATCTTAATTTGTGTTCCGAAGATGAACGAAGGTCTGAGGGATTTGGAACGATATGAGGGTGAGTAATGACTGACCGAATTTTCATTTTTGGGTGAACTAACCCTTAATATTTATTGCTTACGAATGTTGTTACAAGTTGTGGAGGAATTAAGGCTGATTTATACTTCTGCGTCGGACCTACGCCGTAGCCTTTACGCCGTAGGCTATGTGTCAGTTTTCATTTATACTTCTGCGTCGTTGTCCGCGTCAACGTGCAGTACACATGCAAACCGCTAGTCAGCAGTATCCACGGGCATGTTGCTGGTGTAACCCACAGTACCACGGCAAAAGCCGAAGAAGAAATGGCTCGTCGGAGAAGCATTATAGCCGTGACGGCGGCAAATAAATATCAAATCATTAAATCATTATTTAAAACTACAAAAAGGAGACAACAAGGAACAGGAGATGATGGCATTCTTTCAATCTGCACAAGGACTTGTACCACGGCAGATCAACATTGTTTGTTGTGGACAACTACTGATGTATAATGCTATGTAGTATAATAAATGATCAGACACTTGTTCTTTGCTTTGTTTTATTTTATATAAGAAGTTGTTACATTAAAATATATTAAAGTGCACATAAACACACACAAAACTCAAGTACATATGGAGGGAGGGGTTCTTGCAGACCAATCACAGCGCTTGCGGTCTGCGTAGAATTGATGCGCTGTTAGATTTTTGGGGAGGTGCACGTCAGGCTACGGCGTATGGGTGTGCGTCTATGCGTAAGCTATGGCGTAGGTCCGACGCAGAAGTATAAATCAGCCTTTACGGTGAGGAAAACAAAGTCATGTCTATTCTCAAACATAAAACAAACACAACTATATAAAGGCTATTCACATGAGCACATTTTAACATTAAAAATGATTTATACTTTCATTAATTTGATACACTTCTCCACACAGGAAGAACAAACATGCCAACTAGTTACTGACCTGATGTAGACTTAGCTGAAGCAGACTGATCTAGATCGAGGTTTACGTAAGTAAGGTAACGAGAAAATAAGCAATGGCTCTCAATTACAGTGTGCTGCAGTTCCATTTCTCACCACAGATTTAGATTGGAAGATTGTGGGGCACTGTAGAGCTGGGCAGGGCTCAGGAACTGTTTGCCCCACTTGGCATCATAACACATGTCTGCTGAAGCCATACAATGGATTTTGTTAAATCCTGCCAACTTTACAACTTAAAACAGTCTATAAAATCAGAAACATATTTGTTGGAGAATGCTGAACACTCTTAGGCCTTCAGTTTATTATTGATTCAGTTTATATAGAGGTTTATGTTTTGCATGAATATTTTGGCTGGTTAAACCGCTTGATTCAAAATGATTTATTTAACCATCTTCAGAAACTTTTGAAGCATCAATGTTTTGGTGTAACAGACTTTCAGCGGAGGGAGAGAAACCTTCCTGAATTCATTAAAAAAAGATGAACAAATTCTTCTGGAACGACATGAGTAAATGATGACATAACTTTCATTTTTGATATCTCTTTAACTTGTAGAGACAACTTTAGGTAAGATATTTCTAAGTTGATTTCAAAGAAGTATGAATACTGTGGCTCTAGTGCTAACAAATCATTGTCAGAAGTGTCATAAACATTGGCTCAGCCTTATTTTTTGTGATACCCCTAAATTTTGTTTTTGTTTTTTCCATTTTCCCACATTAGCTCAACCAATGGAGTCTGAGGGTGGTGTATTTTTCATGTATTTAATATATTTTTCAACCAATGGCAGATGAGCGAATGTGTTCAGGACACTTGTGTGTGGTCTTTTTTGTCATTTTCCACCTGTTATATTTGTCAATTACACAGTTTACCTTCAAGAACTGACATGATAAGGGCAGCAGCGGTGAGGTCTTGGCAATCCAAACAGTTTAATGGTGACATGACAGCTGCCCTTTAGAAAATATCGTTCTGATATATTGAACCACGCACAACAGATCAGAAAAACCAACACTTTATCCAAGTGTCTTCCAAGCAGTCTTTGTCAAAGGTTTCTACATCAAATGATATATAGAAATTATGTTTTTACCTCATCGCTGTTCACTAAGCAAATGAGAGATGTACTTACTGGCCATGCGTATTTAAATGGGATAGCAATTCGTCCATTTCTGCTGTCGCTTCCCTCGTTTCCATGATGATGTAAGGTGTGGGAGTTACCACCCAGGACAGGTGTGCTGCCAGTGCCATATGTACAGGTGCCGGTTGGTGCAACCCGAGCCTGGTACTCCTTCAGACAGGCCTTGAAGAAGGTGTCACACTGATCACCTGATGAGCAGCGCTGCCCGCCACTGGCCTGGGGGTCACAGCACTGATCACTCAGTAGAAAGCCCTGAGGGTTTAGCCACTGTCGAATCTGGACCTCAAATGTGCCCACCGCACAGACAACCTATGGAAATTCAAAACAGCCATGTTAAAAAAGGGAAAACAAACAGGAAAACTGAAATGTGACAAAGTGCATGAAGTCATTAAGATGAGAAGCAGCACTTTCAGCCTCCAAAGGTGTTTAGAATTTAAATTCTCTCATGATGCTTGTTCATATTCTCCACAGTTACTGGCTTCCTGAAAACAGTTTTATCACATCTGGATGTTGGCTTGTGTAGGTTAGAATATCAATGCTGTTGTCGTCGATTATAAAAATGTATCATATTCTTTTGTAATGTAAATGACAAGTATATTGATTGTTTTTATTAAAAAGAAATGCTTAAAGCAGTGGTTCTCAACCACCAAATCTGGCAAAAACTTCAGAGCTCACTTTGTCCAAGACAAAATTTGAAGGCCTTCCTGTCTAAGTTGATATCCACCTCTGGTACTTCGGTTGTAATAAAAAATAAAACTCAAAAATATGATATATATCAGTTTAATGTAATTGTGATGATTGATAGTTTTATTTTCTCCACGGAACACAAAATTGAGATTATTTGTAGATAATGAGTCCAATTTAGGCTAATTAATGTACATACACACAAATGTGCATGAAATCAGTGCATAAACGATGAACAAATCATGATTCACCAAAAATCCGACGAGACAATTCTCGACTTGACTTACTAAATGTATTCAATGTTTATGGTGCTTTTATTGTCATTTCTGGAGTTTGACAGCACTCTGATAAAATAAAGTCATGTGGGTTTTCAGAACAACATGAGGGTGAGTAAATTAAGACAGAATTCTTATTTTTGGGTGAACTATTCCTCAAAATTGAAAAGCACTCGACTACATTAGCAAAGACAGAAAAAAGATACTGTGGTTGTATAAACACAGAAGAACTTGCTCTGAGTAATGCTCAAAGGCAAAATATGTGTATTCAAACATTAAAATCTGTTCTTACAGTTGTATTTATACAGTGTATAGAGTGTCAAACAACACAAACACAATCCCCACGAGACCCCATTCATCCAGACAGATAATGACTCTAGCAGTCTTTGTATCTGAAGGCAGATAAAGACAGAAAGAACAGACGATAACATTGATTCAAAGTGAAATCCCTGTGTCTAAACGGACAGCTACAGTCCTCTTCTGTGCTGTAATCACCCTATTCATCTGCATGCTCACTTAACTTCATTACCTCCATCTTCTCCCCTCAGGTTATGTCTTGCCTCTCTCTCACGCTTTCTCTCCTTACTCCCTTGTGTTAGTCACTTCCTACTCTTCAACCCCTTGCACTCTGTCTTCCATTCTTTATATCAATACCTCTCCTTTCTTTTCTCTCCCTCTCTCCCCAGAGGGGAACACATTTACAACACAGCTCCTATCTTGCCCTCTCCGACTGTGTAGTTCTCTTTTTTCACCTGGGAAAAGATCTCCTCTCATCATTATGTTCAGACTTTCCTGTCTTTATTGTTGCCATTCTTTTATTCACCTCTCTTTTTGTCACAAAGGAGGAGAAGACGCACAAACACACACACACACACACACACACACACACACTCTGCAAAGAGACGGCTGGGCATTTTAGGTACTCTCAGTAGGACAAAAAAACGATTTGCCAAATAAAAACCTAGAAAAAAAACATGTTTTATCAAAACTATTGTAGACTATTTATTTATTTATTTATTTTAAGATCTTCAAGATGCACATACTCGAAAAATCCTGATGTGCATCACACACTCTCTCCCACACAAATAAACAGACACACAGACACACACTGATTCTCCTGTGAATACGACATTCCAAGCCGGGTCAGACAGTAAGACTCGGTGGTGCCTGTCCTCTCCCCGTGACCCCACGTTTGAGCAGGACCGCTGAATGGCTGCACTGTCCTCCCATTGTTCCATCATGGCATGTTGTCCCATTCCTGCTCCTAAAACATGGACACATCAAACGCTCGGCAGATAGACCACCGGCCATCACTCTCCATCTCTCTTTCTTCCTCTCCCTCTATCCTCTGCCTGGGTCATTCCCAACATACCTGTATTTCAGCAGTCTCTCTTGTGTAGCTGCATCACAGGGCTCATTACCGAGACATTAAAACCCCACAAAGACTCGTCCTGAACTCCTGCCATCCAACATCAGAGACAAAGACATGCTGCTATTTAAAACAAAAAGGATATGTGCATAACACATTTCTGAGGGGGCAGCTACGCATTTTGAAGACATGTATTGACTAACTGTTAAAGTATTATTGCTGTCTAACACAAAAGGTAACCCTTATCTGTTTTATTCTCCATTCCTGATTTAGGCGTTTAACCAAGAATCATTCTTAATTTCACTTTTTAATACTGAAATTAAATTGAAATTCTAACCCAACAGTAGGGTATTTGACCCAATTTTGGCTTGAAACAACCCAACATTTTTGCCACAAATAGAATCAATAATAATAATAGCAATAATAAAAATATAATAAAATTTGCAAGTTAGCGATATTTTTTGCATGAATCAAGAATCACTTGCATTACAAAAAAGTTATAATGTAACTCCATGACATTCATTCATGAATACACTTTTTCTGGAAACAGTGGCATTTGAGAGATTACTTAATATTTATTATATAATCTACCCTTTTTCATACTTATTTAATTAATTTATATAGATTTAATGAATAATAAGAAATTATTAATTTTATTCAGCAAGGACACATTCCATTTTTCAAAAGTGAAATTAAAGACATTTATAATTTTACAAAAGTTTCCTACTTTCTATTTTGAAGGATCATGTGACAATAAAGACTGGAGTAATGGCTTCTGAAAATTCAGCTTTGCCATCACATGAATACATTTTATATATTAAATTTGTATATTGTAACAATCTTTCACAATATTACTATTTTATTACTATTTTTGTACTTTTGATTAAATAACTTGAGTGCCCTAGTAAGCATAAGAGATTTCTCTCAAAAACATTTAAGTTAGCATATACATTGGTAGCATAGTGTATTCCATATATACATGCATATACTATCACAAGTTATTCTCATAGTTTTAATAAACCTCATCTATGTTAGTCAGCTGTAACTAACCTAACTACATATACGTGACATAATTAAATAAAAAAAATGTTAATGTATTATTTTGAAGATATCAGCAACAATATTCAAATAAAATCTAAATGTTTGCAAGAAATAAACACATATTCATGATTGATGAACAAGGTTCATAAGAAAGTGCAGTACTAGCCTGGATAGGTCAAGTGACATTTCCGTCAACTGGCCTCAGGCCACTAGGCCATCCTTATTGTTGAGCCCTGTTATGTATAGCCCAACTAACAATACAAAGCTGTTGATCACTTCCCTCCTCATCTCTTTTGACAATAACATAAAAACCATAAAATTTCTTCTCTCTAGAACTTTCTGTAACATACACGCTATAGATCTTCCAAGAACCATCAAAGCATTCAACAACCAAAGTTCATACTGCAAAAACGACAGAAAGTTTTTCACACGCCCTCAGTGGCAGGACAGGTATGTGCATCCAGCAGTAACCCGCCAGAACACACACGCGCTTTCTGCACTCAAAGGGTTCTCATACCCTGGATCTGCCCTCCACAGCAGGTGAGTTGTCATCTCCACCGTAGACCAACAACCCCAGCGGAGACCTCAAAGCCTGGAATAATAGGTGACTGGGGTGGGATGTGTAGCATTGGAAGTAGATTCTGAAATAATGTCTTGGTTTTAATGCCAAATGTGTTTTAAACAGAGTAGGCTTCTCAAACCATAAGAGAGATTCATATTTTGAAAATAAAATGATGATATGTATTCTCTAAATACAGCTAAGCCATTTGGGTGGTACAAATGGATCAGCATAATTAGAGTGACTGAGTGTTTTCTGGGAATGCAAACAAAAGCAAAATCACATGCCCACAAAGAGACCCATTTCTCTTTATAAAATCTCCAAATCTCCTACTTTACTGCCTGATGTAAACATAATGAAATTAAAAATAAGCCTTGCTCTAAATAGAAAAGCGCTGCAATGTCCCCATTTATACTAGAGCAAAACGATGCTTTTGTTGTACAAATAAACCAGAGCACCAGGGTACGTTTCACACAGAAATATGATGAGCAAGTCTTACAGACAAGCTTTACAATAACACATCTTCATGTACGTCAGATATATTGTTGTATATGAACCATAGCTGACATGAGACTTTCGTATCTGCATGAAAATCAAGGCAACACGCCCAAAAAGAGCGACAAGTGCGGCGCGCAACAAAGAAAGATGGAACAACAGGTGGCTGCAGACGGTAACAGCACAACAGAGGTCTCTCGTCCACAAAGGTGTAAAACGGAATTATGGGGGTTGCACACCAAGTTAAACCCCCGCAAATTACGGCGAAGAAGCAGGCTGGGTGTGTTTAAGTGTGCATTGGTTTATATATATATATATAATTTCAACAATCACAAAAGTTTACAAATTAGTCAGAAATCGTCTTTGCTTGAGAAGGTAGCCATAGCAACAGCTGTCAATTTCAGACGGTGGCGACAAAAACATAATTACTGTAATTATTTATCACGTAATTATGGATGTGCGCAACAGAAATGTATTAAAAAGTCTTCAAGTTTACGCTTTGTTTGCGCAAGATGAACCTCAACCGACTGCGCCCAGAAAACGACAGACAGATTGCGTTAAAAAGTTCAGCTGCCTGAAAGTCGCTAAATAATTCGCATACTGGTGCAAACCACTTGTAAACAGCGCTAAAGTAAAAACAACACTGCACTAAATAACCACCAAGGATTGTCCGTGTAAAGCTCTGGAGAGAAAACACCCGTGAAAAAAGTGACAGCAGGCTGAAAATAGCGCGTAATCAGCGGCTTACCTGCGGCTGCAGCGCCAGCGAGAGCAGGAGAATGACGGTCCAGTGCTGTCCGCGCTCTGCATCCCTTATCATCGCCCTAGCAGCACTCCTTCTGTCCGTACTCGAGCTCTCCAAGGAGTGCCAACTCTTTCGGTCTCTATCCATTCTCATAGCAGACATTTGCGCACTTGGTCTGTGCGTACGGAACAGCCTTCCCCTGTTTGGTGACGCTTTCTTTACACTGTCCATGTGTCCATCGTGAAGACACAGCGCGAATACGAGCAAAGTAAATGTGGCACAGGTAAATGATAAGACCACTGATGTCTTTCCACACTCCGCTTGGAGTCCAGGGTGCTTCCTCCTCCTCCTCCTTCCACCTGCTACAGTTAAGAAGCTTTGAATGTTCGACCTGCTGACCTAGTGACTTGAGCTTTCATCCCATTTACTTCCCCTCTCACTCAAAGCAGCTCTTTCCCCTCACGTCAACCGGATAGGCTTTCCCGATGCCCTCCCAAAGCAAAGAGCAGCGATGAGAGCGAGACTGCGCATCACCGTGGGAAGCACTAGCGGTAAAGTTGCCAGGGTGTGTCCTCTACATGGGAATATCGGTCACCTGTATCTAACTTGAATATAATATCGACATATTTCTTACAAACTGATGTAGGCTAGTTTATAAATATAACATTTAGGTCTTTTTTTTTCATATAATGTCAACAGGGCTGCTGTTACAACCCAATTTCCACTATGTACATTTAAATTTGGTAATCGGATGTATTTAGGCCTACTATAGAATCATCTGTTTACCATCCATTTGATTCAAAAATAAGTTAATAATACATTAAACAAAACTGGAATCAAATACAGAACAAATAGATAAACGCAAAAAGTGTTACAGTCGAATACACTGTCATTCTGTGCTTTGTGAGTCCAGCAGAAATGCATTGTTACAAAATTGTGAAAGTTACAATCCTCCTCATCTGGTCAGAAATCTTTCTAGTTTTAAGATTTCAGCAAACAGGAAACATTCTCAGAATTTTGGTAAGATTCTGGCAAGGTTCTGATTCAAAGTTCAAGGTTCTCTCAATGTCAAACAAGCAATCTCCCAGTAACGTTAATAGAATGTTTATTCAAAATTATTGTCAAATCATTAGTATATCAATTATTGATACATTATTAATGGAACATTTTTTTCTGACCGGTTTTAGTTGGGTCCCATTTTTAAAACATTTTAAAAATGGGATGTTTCCAGTTTTCAAATAGACCTACTTTAATAGAAACGTTACCAAATGTTCTTAGAATTTTTGTTTTCTGGAATGTAGGCTATGAAAAGCTTGTGTGGATGGATACATCAAATTAAACAGTTCTGTCAGTTACCGTGAATCAGAGAATCGTTATGAATCACATAAAAAATTTACTTACAGTTTAAAATTATGGTGTGTACTTTGAAACCTTTATATTTCACAACTTTATATTTCTCACTTACACCTTTACTGCCACCTTAGGAGGGTGCTGGTCATGTATAATGCTGATTATACAACACTTCATGGTCTTTTTGCATAGATATGATGCCGGATATATAAGAAAATTGGCTAGGCTCAACAGCCCAACATCCCTTCTATCTATAAATGACAGAAACGGGCCCATTCTCTGCCATATGTCCTGTTTATGAAGTCACGGTATCATTTATAACAAATAAATTGTGAAACTATGCTATCCCATAATGCACTGGTCTGGAAATTCTCAGTAGGGTTTCTTTTCATGTGTACTCTTTCTGGAATAATAGGTCTCAAGCTTCACTTAATCTCTGAGCATGATCAAAGTGCTGCGGCACCAATTAAAAAAGCACGTCAGAGGGCAGACAATAGACAGACAGACAGAGGCTGTTACATTCAATACTCAAGCACATTTACATTACCGCCGGCTTGTTATCACATCATAGGCTAAAAGTGGAAGCGGCATGCTTAACTTAATCATTAGGTCGTTGGGTGAGGACAAAGCAATAAACCCACAAGGTTTGGATGCCAAATAGTGTTTGTGGGGTACTGATGCACCCAAAATGACTACGGATGTTTGAACATTTCACAAAGACTGAATATTTGTGTATTTACAGTAAAGATTTGTTATTGAGGACCACACACATTGCCTATATATACTGTCTGTAATTTTACATTGCTGAAGAAATAAATGAAAAATGCAAAAAAAAAATTTTTTATAAAAGTAACAACTAGTGACTATATGTGTTGTTTACTGGTTTTAGATGGGTTTTGACCACTTTTCAGCTGGTCAGGCAGAGAGATCTTTTTAAACCAGCTTGGCTAGACTGGAAGACCAGCTCAGCCTATAAACCAGACTTTTGATTTAGGCTAATTGCGGAAATTCAAAGCATATCGGCGTCATATTGCTGCTTTCCAGATCTCCATATCGGGGAATGAGTTTCCACTGTGCAGGCATTACAAGACAAAGCATCCGCTTTATGCTGAAAATATAATGAACCGATTTTATTGACTCGATCCTGTTTCCTCCCCACATTCGCGACGGAATGGACTTGTTGCGGTTATTTCCCAAAAGTAGAGTGACCCGTGGTCAGAACAGAGGGCTCTTCAAGTCCGTCTGTGATTAGCATAGAGTGGCGCTGACCTCGACACAACTGAATTTTAATGAATTTTAATCGCTCTTTATTCCTACTGACTCTAAAGCCGCGCTGAGAGCTGATGTTCAGAGTTAATGACATAATTTATGGATCCGTGAGAATTTTCAGCTGTTGGCAGGAATTACCTGTACGGCTGTGTTCTGACGATTTTCTTTCTTTCAGTTGGCTACTTCATTACGTTACCATTTAATCATTAAATTACTGTACAGATAAACTGACAGCAGTGACAGATGATGTATGTAGGGTTCCTAAACCAGTAAAACATACTACTATTTTTCCAGATTGTCACGTGATGAGTCCCTGCTTAAAAAAATCAATAGAAACCATCACAGAATGGTTTCCACTACAAATACACAAACCAACAACTTTTAAGTTTTAACCATTAAAACATTTTTAAAAATGGTTTTCTGTAGGCCTAGTGTGTTTTGGGACATATTCCATTAGGATTTAGTGGCTTTAACAAGCCACCAATAGAAGGCGACCGATTACCAGTAGATACCCACAGGGTCCACATTTTCCATTAAAACCATAGACTGTATAAAAACAGATTAAAACCAGTACAATTCCCACCATAACCAATAAAACCATTACAAATTTTGTGATGGTGTCTGTTTTTTTTTCCAGCAGGGGTGGCATTCACGTAACAAACGTTTCCAGGAAAAGATGACAGCCTATGTTAGCAGAGAATCAATCCTCCACTGGGATGAATGGGAAGATATGGCTCGTTCTTCTCAGGTACAAACCTTACTACCAGCCGAACCGTAAACAGTACAACAGCAAATGTCCCCATCTGCTGGACTCATTGTGAACTGAAAGTTGGTGATTAACATGGAAATGTAAAGAGAGCCAGTACTACACTCACAAAGATTCAAAGACAACTCACCCTCATATTCGCTCATAATTTGGCATGGAAATAAAGCAATACATAATAAACAAATAATAAACTAAGCCTACGCCACTTTCTAAGCTTGAGCCCATTTTGGGGGGTCAGTTGTGGGCATATTTGGATTCCAGACAAAGCAGTGATAAAGCAATGTATGTAGTTTTCTCAAACCAACCAACCTGCTGTTTGGTCATATGATCAGTGTGGGGACAGCTGTGTCCCACACATTGCTGGCATAAGAAGTGTCTGTTCTGTGACTCAAAGGGGGCAGTGTTGGTGGACAACAAACTGCTAGGCATGATGCCAATTGCATAAGACACACACATAGCACCAGCAGCAGTTAAGGTCAGGTTTTTCTCAAGGCAAAACAGCGGAGTGTGCAGAGGCTTGGGAAATCTGCAGAAGAATGCATGTTTGTGTACACAGAAAAAAAGTTGACCTAATCATTTAGGTCAACACAATGTAACTCAAGGCGCCGCTATTATACAGCTGACAGTTCAGAGTCCCTCAAACTTAATTTACCTATTATACGATACTCAAAAAAACTCCCAGGCCATGCGAAGGTGATTTAACTTCAATAGAAATCTCTCACTGCTTGAGATTAAAGAGAGTGTGTGTATGAGCTCAAACAACAGGACAATCAGTTTATGAGTTTGTGAATGCACTCAAGTACATAAAACATATCTGATTTCATCTTGACACAATTTCATAACAGAACAAAATGTTTGACATTCACTCATAATCTTGGGGTTATACATTTGAGTACCACACAAATGGGGAATAAAGTAAATTCCTTAGTAATCAGACTTAAGACTTGAAGTCTGAAGATCAATAAACCACTGAATCAAAGAGTGTCACATACACTTATGCATGATCAAGGCTGCGTATGCTTTTAAGGATTTTTGAATGTTTGATGTCAAAGGAATAATTGTCTCCACTTCTCCCTGCCCAAAAGCCAATTTGGATGTAGACTGTCACTGAGATGAGAAGAGAAGATCCCCCGAGTTTGCTGGCTTCTACTTCAAAAGGATGAGTGACAGACAAGGACAACCACAAGTAACGAGGACTGGCGCTAGATGCTGTGGACACACTAAAGAAAGACACAGGCTCATGGCTGACATCTTCATTAACTACATGGTGAAGTTTCAGAGGAAATCTTGACTGATACGGTAGGACGAATTGAACTACTTCTAAATGCGTGCGAACAAGGACACGTCATGAAAAAGTGGACTTAAACAGTAAATTGTTGTCAGGAAATTAAAACTGGTGTGGCTCAGTTCAGTTTCATAAAGACACACAAACACTCCTCTACAAAAGTTAAGGGTCAGATTTTTTTTTTATTAATGATGGTTCTTGCTGTCAATGTTGAAAAGCTTTTGCTGCTTAATATTTTTTGTGGAAACAGTGATGCATTGTTTCATGATTCATTATTGGAAATCTATTGTAACATTTTATCTTTCAACACTTTCAATGCATCTTTTCGGAGTAAAATATATATATATATATTTTTTTTTTACAGAGACTTTTTCAAACATATACTTAATGTTATTTAAATAAGTCTCTTCTGCTCACTAAGCCTGCATTTATTTGATCCAAAATACTGCAAAAGCAGTAATATTGTGAAATACTTTTACTATTTAAAATAACTTTTCTATTTGAATACATTTTAAAGGGGTCCATATGATGCGATTTCAATTGTTCCTTTCTCTTTGGAGTGTTACAAGCTCTTGGTGCATAAAGAAGATCTGTAAAGTTGCAAAGACTAAAGTATCAAATCCAAAGAGATATTCTTTATAAAAGTTGAGTCAACCACGCCTACCTAAAACTGCTCGTTCTAACACACCCCCACATGTCTACGTCACGATGTGGGAAGATTTGCATAACGCCGCCCAAATGTTCACGCAAAGAAAGAAGGCGTAACTTTTATTCTCGCTGTAGTATTGTTGCTGCCGCCATGTCGTGGAGACGCTGTGTTTCGTTGTGAAAGCGAAACTGCTTTGTTTGGCCTTCCAAAAGAGGACGATATCCGCTTCGTCATGCCTAGAGCTGATCCGTGCTGGTCGCTGTGGAAATACATCAACTTCGCGCTGTCGATCGCCGGACTGGCTTTCACCGTGGACGAAGCGGAGTCCAGCCTGGGGTCATCACATGTGGCTGCCGCAAGCCCGCCGACCGCCGCTCACTCAAGGCCAAAGTAGTTTCGTTGTGAAAGCGAAACTACTTTGTTTGGCCTTCCAAAAGAGGACACGACTAGAAATCAGTGGTTAAGTTGTATTTACAACACTGTTCCAGAACAGTTCAACCCAAATATTCAGATGTGAGCAGCACATTTTATGGAGGACTGTTTCCTGATCCTGAGTAGACTACAATGCCGGCTGTTCTGACTCACAGACTGGAAGTACGTTTTTTATATTTAAAGAATTTGCCACTGACGATTCAAACGCGAGTTTTGAGCAGTGTA